GACCACTCAGCTCACAACTGGAGTTTACTGAAGTTGGAACAAGGCAGCAAAAAGTGGTTCCAGAAATACTGACGTTCATCCCTTGTTTACACAGTGCAAATAGTTTTTTTGTTTTCTCTCTAGTCAACCCATTGTCCGCGTAAATCTTCCACTTTTTTTTGCACAAGCTAATGAAAACATAGCCTCACCTCAGATTACGATGTCCTTGAACAGTCATTGCCCACTCGTGTTGGGTGAGGTACTGCGGCTGCCGGATGTCTCTCTATTTCATCGGCCGCCAATGAGGTCGGCCTTCGTCGTCTCCTCTACCCCAGGCCCATGATCCTCGCTCGGCTCTGCTGCAGCCGGCTCCGTCTGCGGTCCACGAGATGAGTCTCGCCGGCTCTCCGCCTGCCACCTGTCACCTCCCCGGGACCCGGGGCGCCGGCTGCGGCATCCCGGCGAGCCTGGGAAAACGGAACTCGGACCACTCCGAAGAACGGAGCGGGAAGAAACGAGCGACCAGCAGCGGGGCCACTCGACGAGATGGTGCAGCGGCAATAAAACGGGACGTGAATGTGCATCAACACTCGGAAAAGACAGAGCAATAGGTGTAGGGAAATTGGCAAGACGTGATTGATAATTGGGACAAACATGCTCGTTATTTGCAACCGTGAAGTTCGAACATGAATTCAAGTAACGACAGGGATGGGAATGCCATGGGAATCGGAGCAATAACATCCGATGGATTTGGCTGTTATGGATCTAGAGAAACAATAAAATAAAAGTAAGGCAACAAAAAACAGCACATGTTTCCTGTGCGACATCGATATCACCGATTCTAATGGGTATCGCTCGCCGGTGTCGTGCAAACACCTAGCTGTAGCCAGATGTTTGATATCCTAGAATCATTGATAAGAGTCGTGCTTATTTCGGGGCAGAGACAATGAATGAACGTCTCTACAAGTGGACCTTGTGCAGCCTTCTGTCTGACACGAGCAAGTGTGTGAACGGGAGCGCTCACCTCTTCAGTCGCATGGCTGAGCACTCTCAATGCTGCCCATCCGCTGACTTCTCCCGCTAATTTCAACGTCATCTTCCCCCTCGAATTCCTCTCAGGATGCCGGAGACGCGATCTCAATGTCGCCGCTCGGACACGATCCCAGTAGGTACGTCATCGCCGGTTATTGTTGATGTTCGGTGGGCCGAGGCAGAGACAATGGCAGTATAGTCATTAGCTGGATACAGGCAGCCACCCACTCGGAGGAACGGACGCGCCGTCATCGGTGATCACCCCGGGTTGAGGTAGGGGATGGGTCAGATTGCAGAGGCTTGACCTCATGCTGAAAGGGCTGAAGGCTGGTGTAACGCAATAGTTTTTTTTTAAGGTGGTCAGTGGTCACTGTTTAGCTCCAGATATCTGAACTAAGCTGGAAAGCAAGCACTCACTTGGCATTAAAGCGTATATAGCTGTACGATGCCGGACAATGTCATACAAAGAGTCGCCCAGGCCGATCGTGAGATCAGAGATGCATGTAACAGGGGCTAATGGTGGCTGATGCAGGTTTCCGCGGAGGGCAGCCGTTGACTAGTGTCTCCTGCTGGCTGCAGGTCGTATAGTGAAACCTAACGGAATGCGGCTTACACTAGCTCCGGCTGTCCTAACACTGCGGCTGACAGGTTTATAGTCACGTATTTTTAGGCATTGCTCAGAAATGTAGTATGACATATCTTGTATCACCGGCCCCTTTACATTTGCTCGTGTTTTTGAACGGCGTGCTTTCAACGATGCTATTGAAATTACGAGCTGCTGCCTGCTAGTGTTTGAAAAAAATGTTAACGATGGATCTGCAGGCATGTTTCAGGTGTCTGTATTCATTTTTTATACTTCTATCAATGATGTATTCACGTTTTTTATATGCATGTGTTTCTGCGCCTAAAATACCCTCTCCTATCACACAGAAAACTTGTTATATGCCTTCAAAGATTTTGTCACAGCACCCACAAGCACTTTTCTTCGCCTCCCGTTTATCCTGTAGCTGCATTATCACACTCACCCTGCATAAGGCTGTCATCCGAGGTCACTGTTAAGCACCGTGGAAATTGGCCCACTGCGCGCGGGGACAATCAACTGGCCACGTTCGCTACCGCCCCCGGCCTGGAAGGCGCCTTGACGTGATTCCCATACCACTATCCGTGAATAATTAGCCTCAGATCGGCCTGTTGGGCAAGTGGGTGGGCTTGACACAGACAGTGGACGCCGTAAGTGATTCCCTTTAGCCGTTTCTGCCCACGGTATGTCTTATTCCCAGCATTTTGTTTTTATTCATGCTGCATGCTGATTGTTGAGCAAGCATTAGTGGTTTGGTGGTAACATTGAATGAAAAACGCCAATGTATGCTTTGGCCTTATTCAGACCTAACAAGTATGTACTCAATGTAGCCTTTGTGAATCATGTGTAAGCAATTGCGAACTATAAATATTGCTGTAAAACATTATTTTAATGTTAACGACTAAAATGTATGCTTAATGGTGTTTTGCAGTTTTATTTTCTGAAGTGAAACCCAATTTGGCCCAAGCAAGGCCTTTACTTTGAAATAATGTTGAAATGGTCCATGCGTGTCTAAACTCAGTTAACCCTATAAATGTAATCGTATGAGCCTTTAGCCTTCTCTTTTGGGTGTTCTCAGCGCAATTGCCATGCGGTAATTTCCATCGATTATGTACCATCTCGCTCAGCGGGCCGGGGCGCGGTTGCATGGTCCAGGACCGTCTCACGGTAAATTGGGTGGTTCCGGCGGCTGGCCGTATACAATACAGCCATCAGCAAAACACTGCGCTATGGCGCTGTATAATGACGTCACACTGTCCCGCTGCCTGTGACGTCATTAGAGAGGGCGTAAGGTGACAGATGTACTAGTGTGACGGTTTTTTATACGATTGTTTGCAACATTAGGGGTGGGTTTGGGTCCCCGACCGAAGTTTAGCATGCTAGAAGTTATACAGTACATATAAGGTCGTGTAATGCGTGCGCGTGCGTAATTGACACTGGCTTAGCTCCTGCAATCTATTTTGCAATGGCCAGTGTTTGACCAAGGTCTTAAATCTCCACAGAAGATGAGTGACCTCACTGCGACAGACCTCACTGACCTCACTGACCTCACTCCACGGAAGATAAGTGACCTCACTGCGACAGACAATTTGAACATCCGGCGGCAACTAATGCCATCAACTAGAGCAACTAGAGCACCGACAGCGGTGATTGCAAAACGGCTGCAGCGATAATAGAGCAACGGTCATGATGAAACGCTCTGATGGAATGTCCCTGCTTAAACGGAGCCGCGGCCGATGCTAATTGTCCGTCTGATGGAAATGATTCGTATGTCCACTTACCGGCCAACATGCGATGCTTACGTCAGCTCAAGAGCATTGGTAACGACTGTTGACGACATAGCATGTGATCAATAGCCAATGTGGATAAAAGCCCGGTGGTTATGTCATGGAATGAATGCATGTAAGGTACGAATATTGGCTATCAAAGTCCCATCTCTGTTGTTGAGTAGGTACTCGCGTAAAATAGTTGCGTAAAAATATTCAAAACTTGAAGCACTTGAACGACGATGTCGGACGTCGGTATAAGTCCGTTCCATTGATAGATACTCAATGAAATAAGCTACTGGAATTTACCAACACCAGCTACTAATGAAAAGAAACATTGTGATTTGGCAGATGCCAGTTTGTGGCTTGTGACCAGGTACCTAGTGAACGAAAGTTAGCGGCTATATGTGGTATTTTTAATGGGAGATCTCTAACCGCACAAAATGTCGTAGGCCATTTTTGACACGAAATTAAAATGCATGCCTGATATTAATATTTTGTAAAATAAGTGACCATAACATCAACCTAAGAAAGTTAAAAGCGGGTTTTCCAGACCATTGGCATTCTGTGAAGCTGTGAAGGTCAACTGATCGATTTACAACACGGAACCCGACCGAGTTGACGCGTCACAGCTTCTTACGGTTGAGACCCTATTCTTGGAACGTCATAATCCTTCAAAGGCGTACATTGAGAACAGTTTGCGATGTAGCAGCGAGTGAAAATCCACCAATTTCGAGATACATTTACAATGGTTGTGGATTTTTATTTTTTATACATGCGGATGTGCGACCAGTGGCGCGTGAACCGGGGGGGGGGGGGCTAGCGGGGGCTGAGCCCCTCCAACTTTTCGGCTGGGGGGCTCATAATGTATTTGAGCCCCCCCCCCCCAGCTGGAGGAATCGAACTCGGAAATCTGCCAACATAATTTCATAGATTCATACATAGGGGCGGGAACCGGGGGAAGGGGCAGTGGGAGAAGCTTGCCCCCAAATTCTGCGGCCGCTGGGGCGGTGCCCCAGTACTTGTCATGAGGCTAAAAACCGTTGGGCAGCTTGTCCTCCCCAAATTAGGGGTTGTAGGTCACAAAGGAAGAAAGCATGTAAGTGAAAAATCCACCTCTTTCACTGGCTCGGCAACTCATTTGGCAGATTAAAACCTTTATTCCAGGTCGCCAAAATGGTACTTTCTTCACCCAGCTGAGACGGAATACCTCAATTTTTTTGCAAATATGTTCCTTTTTTCGTTGAAAATGCCAAGGTCTGAAAAATAAGTGGCCTAAAACCGGTGAGAAAACTAGATTTTGGGGTACCCTTAGGTTGATCTCTATTATGGTTCAGCCTCCCCCCCCCCAGTCTGGAAGAAGTTCCCGCGCCACTGTGTGCGACAATGAAGATCTTCCGCTTTCGGCGTGTGGGTCGACGGGCTTTATTGCTTTCTGTCTTTAAAGTCGCGCTGTGTATTTTTATGTACTATAGTATATATCATACAAAACAAAACTCAAAGGGAGAATAAGATAGTGTTCTTTGCTCATTGCTATTTTATTTGTGTTTATTATGTTCTCTAGTTAATTAGGTGCGCTCACTGTTCCCTGTGAATGAAATGTGCCACAATACGTAGTACGCAGCTCTCGTTGTAGGCGCGCCATTTCCATTTTGTCATTTTATGTTCCTTAGTCCACGTTTACCATTCTGCTGATTTCCTATTTTCTTCCTTGGTTTCACAGCCTTGGCACATTGCTCGCTCGGTCCCTCTGACCTGTCGAGGTCACCGGCCGACCGTAGCCTGGGGCAGGGCCCAGGAATGTAGCTGCGCCGTCGCGACCGCAGGGTCAGAAAAGTAGTAACTGGAAACTGTGATATTTGACTCGTTAATGTGTATGTTATGCCCAATAATGTGCTCAGGATTGTAAAATGTATTGTTTGATGCGAGTAGGGATCTCCTGGACATTTAAGTTGCGAATATGATAGCTGACGCGGATGAACATTTCTGAATATGGGCGGTGCCCGGCGCCCCGGCGCTGGTCGGGGGCGCGGCGCGGGTCAGTTGAGCCCCGTTGAGGCTGGTGGTATGTGGTGGTGTCTGCGCCAGAGCCGGTGAGTCGCACAGGAAAAATGACTGTTAACTCGTATTATTTATGGAATATGTAACCGTAATTAGGGCGAATATTTACTGTGTATGAAACCAATATTGAATGTTATATGAATTGCCTGCAGATATTTATTACCGGTCATTTATATGTGGATAAATAAGGTGAAGGCTGACACTCGTCTCGGATTTATAGCCATTTACCAAGACCGTGAGGCTGGTCGTCTAATGTGCCTCTGGAGACGTGTGCCTCTGGTTTCGTTAGCCGATAAGCGACTCAGGGAGCACATTTGTCGGTACGTAACTAAATGTCGCGGTCGCACAATCATGTAATCAAGTGCTTTCGATATAATTATACTGTTTCGTATATGCATATTCAAGTGCATGAATGGACGCGTAGCAATGTACCTGGTTGCCTTTATCAAGTTATTTATTTATGCGTGTGTTATGTTCCCCCTCGCCTGTCCCTTTTATTTCCGTCACGTTTGTTTGCGCTCGTTTATGTTTATTTGTGCAATGCTTAACTTAGGGCCGTTGTTTTACAGCAACGATTGCGTGCGGAGGGCCACACGGTCCAATACACCGATCCGTGACGACATCCGAGTTTCGAACTGAGTCTGGTCGGCGGCTACAGTTGCGACAACTGCGACAACGCTTCGCGAGACGACGGAGTGACGTCACCTCGTCGTGGAGGACGGCACGCTACAGGAGCAGGAGCACCACACTCGTCCGTACTGGTATGGTGAGCGCCTTCGCGCTATCACGCCTGTGGTGACTCCGCTCCAGGCCATTTGCCGCGTGATCTAAGTGACGTCATAACGTCGGACAGTTGCGTCATAGACTTGGTGACGTCATGCTGGGTGGTTGGTGACGTCATACTGGATGGTTGACGTCATAGTGAGGGGTGACGTAATGCCGTACTATTGTGACGTCATGACGGGGGTGACGTCATACTGAGCTTTTGACGTCATATAGCGATTGTGGCGTCATACTTAACGGAGTTCGCGTTTTGTTGGGTGTTCCGTCGGCTGTTAACGTGTTGCCGAAGGTTATTGATCGTGAATGAACTGCACTCGGTGTTATATTAAGCAAACTCTAAGTTTTCACGTGATCCTGGATAATTTTCCTATTGATTTACCTCACCTGTCTGGAGACTCACCTCGGTTTCACGCGTCATCGATAGGCGGTTTGTCCTCCGGGCAGCTCGCTGATTGTCGTAGCTGGCTCGGTCGCCTTGCGTGATTGGTTGATCAACTGCTAACTAAGTCTTGTACTTCAATTGGTCACACTTCTCACTTCTGTTAATCAGCTAGATGATAGTTGGGAGCCGCTTTGATTAGTTGTCATCAATCATGAATCCTCTAGAAGAGCTGAAAGTGTCGGAGTTGAAGGCGGAGTTGAAGGGAAGAGGTGCAGACACTAAGGGTTCGAAGCCGGCGCTGATGCTGCGATTAAATGAGGTTTTGGTTCAAGAAGGAATCGACGTTGCATCATTCGTTGCAGCTCGACGGGACGTTTCCGCCGAACCGAGAGCTGATGCCGCAGCCGCTGAGGTGGCTGTTCCTGATTTGGACAACACGGTCCCGGCTCCTGGACCCCTCGTCAGAGCCACATCACAGATGTCCTTGCGTAGTTCTGCCTCGCAAGTCTCCATCTCTTCGTTGCGAGCAGCGGAGTCGGCGACGAAGGCGGGACTGATGGCTCGAGCTGCCTTTCTGAAAAGGAAGCAGAAGATGGAGAAGGAAGAACTGGAGATGAAGATGCGCAAGCAGAAGATAGAGAATGAAGAACTGGAGATGAAGATGCGCATGGAGAATCTGCAGTTGGAGAGTGAGCTGGCAGAGGTGGAAGCCAGAGAACGTGCACTGATGGAAGCCGAAGAGCAAGGTTCTCAAACAAGACCAGGCGTGGCTTCGTTGCGAGCTGTCTGTCCAGCTGAGCCGAACGAGAGGACTGGACATGCAGAAGACGTTGTCGGCAGCGAGCAACCACTGGTCACTGTTCAGTCAGACGCTGGGGCTTCAGAGGCGCGTGCTGATCAGATGAACGTCAGGAAGAATCCACCTCAACCTGACCTTAACGCTTCACAGCCCGATGCTACACAGGTCATCCTGTCCCAGATCCAGCAAAGTCGTCTCCCGAGACCAGAGTTGCCAGTTTTCAAGGGTGATGTAACACAATACAGATCCTTCATCCGTGCCTTCGATAGCAGGATCGGGAGCAAGACCGACAGTGATTCGGAGCGGCTGTTCTACTTGGAGCAATACTGCGCTGGAAAACCACGGGACATCATCAGAGGATGTCTTCACATGACCGAAGATGTTGGATATCTGGAGGCTCGGCGACTGCTGGAACGAAGATATGGCGACCCAGAAACAGTCTCGTCGGCATTCGTTGACATGTTGATGGACTGGCCTCAGCTGAAGCCAGGAGATGTTGAAGGACTTGATCGTTTCTCACTGGCGCTCACCTCGTGTTTGAATGTAATGCAGAGCATTCCTCTTGGAGCCAGGGAGACTGACCATCCCCGGACGATGCGGAAAGTTGTAGAGAAGCTCCCCAGCCATCTGCAGGACTCCTGGCGGCGACGAGCTCACAAGATCCAAGAGTCTGAGAAGAGGAGGGTGAAGTTTCAAGACGTCGTCACCTTCGTCGACAGCGAGGTGCAAATCCAGACCAATCCTACGTTTGGCAGGCACCGAGAAGAACGAGTCAGAAGACAGACACACACAGTCTCAGCTACAGCAGTTGCAGGAGCGGTACAGTCCTCGAAGAGTTGTCTGTACTGTCATGGTAGTCACTTCACTGATCTGTGTGCTGAGTTGGTCAAGCTGCAATGGGAAAAACGGCGAGAGTTCGTTCGTGAGAACAGACTGTGCTTCGGATGCCTTCGAAAGGGCCACAGATTCAGTAACTGCTTCAGGAAGCTCGTCTGTGGAACTTGTAAGCGGCTGCATCCAACAGCGATGCACAAGAACGAAAGTGTTGAAGGAACTGGTCAGAACCCTTCTGATGGAAATGGTGAGCAAAACACTTCTGTGAAGAATGGACGATTGGATGCATCGCCGACTGAAGTCTCTGCTGGTACGGCAAGCTGCAGGTCGTCGGCGATGATGGCTATTCTGCCGGTGAAGATGTGGAACGCTGACTGCTCTCGTTCAGTCGTCACGCATGCGTTCTTGGATTTGGGCTCAAGCGCAACGTTTTGCACGCCGAATCTTCTGAAGGCGCTGGGCATGGAAGGAGAAACTACGGAGCTCACAATGACGACTGCAACAGCTGAGAACCAGCGGATTTCCAGCACATTGGTGAAAGGCCTGAAGATATCTGACATGGCGGGGAAGAAAGTAATGGATTTACCGCCGTCGTACACGTTGCAGAGAATTCCAGTCGATCGCCAGGATATCGCAACAGCTACGGATCTGGAGCGCTGGCCACAACTGCAAGAGGTTGTTCCCCCGGAAGTACATGCGGATATTGAACTTTTGATCGGAGCCAATTGTCCTCAGGCCCTGATACCTCTCGAAGTTCGCGCTGGTGGAGAGGGATGCCCATTTGCCATTCGTACGTCTCTTGGATGGGTGGTGTATGGACCAAGATCCCGCAGCCGGGTTTTCGATGGAAGCGCGAGAGTAAATCGTATCGAGGTACTAAGCCCAACAGATGATGAATTTGACCTTCACAGCAAATTTGTCGCGCTCTACAACCAGGACTTCGAGCATGATCTTAGTTCCACAGACGTTGGCTTCTCCATTGAAGATCGAGCGTGGATGAAGATCGTGGAGGGCGGAGTCCGTCACCTGGATGGTCGTTACCAGATACCCCTGCCACTGAAAAGCGAGATCATCCTGCCGGACAACAAACAGCAAGCAGAGAGACGAGCAGAGCAGCTGAAAAGGAAAATGCTCAAGAGCCAGAAGTATCTCCAAGACTACAAAACATTTGTCAATGAGTTAATCGAGAAAAACTACGCAGAACGTGTCAAGAACGAGCAGATCGACATGGCAGAGGGACGTACCTGGTATATACCGCATCATGGTGTATATCATCCGATGAAACCTGAAAAGATTCGTGTCGTCTACGATTGCTCTGCAACTTACCAGGGCATGTCGCTCAACAGTCGGCTGCTGCAAGGACCAAATCTGACGAGTTCTCTCTTGGGCGTGTTGCTGAGGTTTCGAGAGGGACCGGTAGCAGTCATGGCTGATATTGAAAAAATGTTCTATCAGGTGAGGGTTCCGGAGGATGACAGAAGTTTGCTCAGATTTTTATGGTGGCCGAATGGTGACACAGAACGGGAACTGGAAGTGTATCAGATGAATGTGCACCTCTTCGGTGCGATCAGTTCTCCGTCTTGTGCAAACTTCGCGCTACGGAGGACAGCGCAGGACTTCGGAGATAAGTTTGATGCTGACGTCATAGACAGTATTCAACGCTCGTTCTATGTTGATGATTTCATGAAGACAGGATCTACGGCTGATGAGGTGTTGAGGATTGCAAGAGGAGTCAGAGACTGCTGTGCGTTGGGAGGATTCCGACTGACCAGCTTCGTCAGTAACTGCCCTGACGTCATGTTCTGTTTCCCGGAATCTGAGCGCGTGACACACAAGAAGTTTGATCTGACCGGCCACGATCTTTCTGCGCAGACGCTAAGAGCTTTGGGTGTGCAGTGGGACGTATCTGAAGATACTCTTAGCTTCCGTGTTGATGTCAGGAGGGGTCCGACAACCAGGAGAGGCATTCTTTCTACAGCAAGTGCCGTTTATGATCCGCTAGGGTTCGGAGCTCCTTTCGTCATGTCAGCCAAAATCCTGTTGCAAGATCTCTGCAGGCTGAAGTTGGGATGGGACGACCCGGTTCCAGATGCTCACCTGAGAAGATGGGATCAGTGGTGCAAAGAACTGAGCCTTCTGCGGGAGTTCAGCGTGCCAAGAAGTGTGACTGCACCAGACGCGGTGGTGAATTGCCAACTTCACATGTTTGCTGATGCAAGCGAAGCTGGCTACGGTGCAGTAGGCTACACCAGGGTGACTGACAGCACAGGGACAGTTCGCACTTCGCTTCTGATGAGCAAGGCCAGAGTAGCGCCGCTGAAGACTTCTTCAATCCCTCGACTAGAGCTGGCCGCTGCGACGCTAGCTGTGCAGTTGAGCACACAGATACTTACCGAACTTGACCTGAAAGTTGACGAAGTGCATTTTTGGACGGACAGTGTGTCCACGCTTCGCTACATCCACAATACCACTTCTCGTTTCCAGACATTTGTGTCCAACAGGCTTTCCGTCATCCATGATGGTTCTGAGCCCGGTCAGTGGAAGTACGTGCCGTCTGCACTGAACCCGGCGGATGCTCTCTCCCGTGGACAGTCGGCACGCGAGTTTCTTCAATCGGTATGGGCTACTGGCCCAGCGTTCCTCGGCGCAGAAGCAGCTGAATGGCCTGACCAGAAGCATGTGATCCAACGCCATGAAGATGTTGAAGATCTTGAGGTAAAGAGAGGCTTGGGGACTCTCTCGGTAGCAGCTGAGTGTGACAGTACTTCGAAGTTGTTGAACAGCGTATCTGACTGGCACAAGCTCAAGAGGCACGTGGCGT